TTGGTAAGAAGGCAGGGGTGCTAGTTTCTGTTTTACAATTTGATTTAGAGGACTTGTATCCCAGCCACAAGAGTTAATTACGCAGTGGAATAACTGGCCTTGCAAAACCATTAAAGGCTTGGACTAGTTTTAATATCACTTCATCTTAATATGTGAAAGTAATTTGGTCTGCTGAACTGCTACCAGAAATAGAAACACAATAGGTTAAATCCCCCCCTGGGGTGTAACTGCTTGGGAAATATTCTTAACCCAGCCTGAACTGGGCCTTTGTTGTTATGTCTACATTCAGGGTGGTGTAAAGGTCCCCAGGATATCCAAGTGCCTGAGAGTGCCTTCAAGCCAGGACCTTGGAGACAAAGTTGTTTTAATGGCATTTGCATGTATTTACAGGAGCAACGTTGGGCTTGCAGTAATTTATACCTGAAAATTATAGGGGCAAAGATGGAAGGTAGAAATGGAAAATTATAGGGGCAAAAATGCCTAAACTCTGACATTTAAGCCATGTTTATACTATCAGAGGACTGCAATAGGGAGTGAACGTACCACACACGCTATACCCCAGGTGGCTGTAATATTGCCTGTCTCACTATGGCACTGGGTACCTGCCAATTAGCACACCTGCGGGAGTGCACCTATTCGTGTGTACTCAAGTCCACATTAAGGCATTACATGATACTACATCCATTTTGGGGTGTAACATGGGCACCGTGCTCCCTTGCAGCACTCCTAAGCACCGTCTTTTGATGGTGTAGACAGACATGCCTTCTGTGCCTTGCTACACAGAGAAACACAAACAGCCATCTGCAGAAAGAAAAGCAGTTGCGGCAGTCGTGACACACACAGTAACGAGCCCAGATACATACGGTAATGAGTCACCAGCACAGATGCACTTGCAGTCTGGAAGGAAGAGACATTCACTACAGACATTACAGGCTTCTGCATAAAGGAAGCAGATAAGTGAGCTGCCTCAGTCCCACAGGGAATGAAGTTTAGTCTGCATTTACAGTGGTGCAGCCATAAAACTGTTTTTGGTCTATTTAGAAACCAAAAAAAAATTCTCTGTTAATCATTCTAGGAAACAAACAAGGAGTAGGCCAAATTCTGAGTGGGTGCAAATGGAGCTACAATGATTTACACACACTGGGAGTAAAATTTTTATCTGGACAGTATCTCTGATAAACTTTCAGCATCCTTTTGCCAGCAAGAGGACCAAACTGTGTTCCCTGGCCAGCCAGGTACAACCCCACAGACCCCAGTGGACTGTACTGGTGTAACAGAGGGTGGAATCTGGCTGCCGTGTCCAAGACAGACGTAGGTCTTCCTGCTGTCCTGATATTGCATGCATATCTGTAAAGGTGTTTGAATGCAATGCATGGGTGAAGTGACCTGTCCACAGAATATAAATGTGACAGGCACTCAGGACAAGATTGTACTTTTAAGTCACAGTGTGCATTAGCAGAGGAAAGGGAGGAATGGTATCAGATCAGTAGGAAATCCCAGTAGGCCCTGCCATGGGGGCAGACTTAAAGTCTCCAGCAAAGGCCCTCAGCTGTGGTCTGTGCCAGACTAACTGGAGCATGGAAGCACTTACTCCATACAGCTATCAGCAACTAATTTCAGAGCTAGCTGCTCTAAGCCAGGACATATAGTGCCTTTAAGCAGGACTTGTGGTATTAGCTTGGCAGCTAGACCACTAGGAAGAACCATAGGGTATGTCTGAGTCCAGCAGCCTCAGTAAAATCTATTCCCTTTTTATTCATGATAGACTCACTTCAAGGCTAAGGACAGAAATTGCACATAAACCAGTATAAGTGATTGGAAACCAGTTCAAATTTGTAACACAACAAAAGTTCAGTGCACACAAACTACTTTCAAAATGGCCCAAACCAGTTTAAGATAAACCTGGATGGATGTAGTATCAGACTTAGCTGATTTAGGTTAAATCGGTTTATTGAACTTCTGTCCCAGATTCCCTCCAGATTCAAGTTAACTCATAGTTGCCCAGCATCCCAGGATGCTTTGCATTTCCCCCACAACCCCCACCTCCCCTCACAGGGTGGGCAGACTAGCCTTGGCCTAAGCTGTCTGCTCCAGCTGAGCAGGGAGGTGTGCTCTAGCACCCCCCAGCTTCTGGCCTGGGTCACGGCAGGCATGTGGCTGCATTTCTGTAATCAAAAGTGAATGTCTGTTCAGTTGCTTATTGGTTCAATCCACGCAGCTTAGACCAGGGGCGGGCAATTATTTTGGGCGGAGGGCCACTTATCGAGTTTTGGCAAGCTGTCAAGGGCTGCATTTTCCTCTCTGGTGCTAGGCAGGGGATTCTGGTTGGGAGTGGGGTGGGGCTGAGCAGGTCTTGCTGCTGGGTCCTGCCACTGGCTTCCCCTGGGTCCTACTGCCCCTGGCTCCTGTCATCTTTAACAGGCAGCCAGGAGCAAATAAATACTAATTTTCTAAATTTTTTAGGGGCCTCATGGGCCAGATAAAATGGCCTGGCAGGCTGGATCTAGCCCCTGGGCTGTATTTTGCCCACCCCTGGCTTAGACTAACCTGCAAAGATTGAATCAATTGAGCTTGAGCTTTTTGACTATCTGTACTTAGCCCAAAAGAGTCCATGTGCCTCACACTCTATTGGAACAACTGCCCCCCTTTACTTCCCCTGTCAGGTTTAAAGAACTGCATCTGTGCATGAACCCCTTGAACCTGGTACCTCAGGAGTGCAAAGACTGAGGCTGTGTCTCACTCCTAAGCAGAAGCTGCATGTTTGTGGGGGAGGGTGAGGGGTTGGGGTGCAGGGGCAGGTAGGGAAAGGGAGGAATGTTGAGTCGTCTCTCTCTTCTGGGGCACTGAGACACTTTGAGGCCATGACAATTAAATTATTTCCATTAATAGTCTGATTCTACTTCCCTGGCTGAACATTTACCAAGAAGGATCTGTCTGATGAAGGTGGAGGGGGGTTGGGGGCGGAAGTAGGTCAGGAGCTGGAAGCCTTGCACACATTAACACAGACAATAGCTCCAGCAAAGTCAATAGCCCTCTGGAAATCCATCTGAGATGGGATTTGTTCTATTGTCCTACCTCAGAATTAATTTTCATCGTCTCTTCTGTGTGGTAAAGTAGGAGCTTTTGTCCAGAAGAAGTTAAGTTCACATACACCTGTAGGCAGGGGTACTGAGAGTTTTTCCAGCAGTCCGGACCGCAGCTAAATGAGCAGTTAAATGTTTCTGTGACGGATGCATTGAGGAGTGTGCACTGAGCCTCTTCTGTCCAAACACTAGGTAGAAAAGAGAGAGGTTAGACAACACCCAGCAAGAATGGGCAGTGAGCACTACAGACACCTTTGCCCTTCACTCCAGGCTACAACAGGGAGACCCTATAGTTGTTGCCTGTATTGGTCTTGCTTTCCAAGTACGCCCCATACATGACAGGGTGGGTCGATAGTTCTGTGGCACATGAAGATTGTATGTCAGAAGTACAAATCCGGTGGCTTGATATGCAGTACTTCCTGCCAGAGGTGAAAAGCAAAGGGGACTTTAAGTGTGGAGGGCATTTCCATGAGAATAAAGGCAACAAAGGCATCTAAGAACAAATGCAAAATGTGTGCAGGAGACCGCAAAGTATGTATGATTCACTCTGTGAGAGTAACCATTTTGAACTGACTTTCAGGCTGCAGGGTCCAATTCACCTTAAAAGGCTTGCAACTTAGAAAATAACCTCACACTTATATAGATGTAGTGTCTCGCTTAGCTCTATATGAAACTCTGCCGTGGGGAAGATTTTTCTAGTTCAAATTTTCAGTAGCTAAATCACCTGGTGAAATCACTGCTGAGAATTTCTGGCATACTTTCCATTTATAGGAGATGAAAAGTGGAGTAGTTACCCATTTGAAGTCCCAGTTATGTACCTGCTGGTGCACCCTATTTCTGCAGTGAGATAGAAATGAAAATACACAGTCCAAATCTAGATGTTTCTTAGGGGCAAGAGTTACTGGAATGGCACAACAAGCTGTTTTTTAAAAAGGTCTGGTGGTGCCCAGAGGGGTTCCTCTATCCTCCAGCATGTTCGAATTCTTTCCCATTTTACTGCTTTTGTTATAGAAAGGGTCCTCCCTTCCTGGCACAGAAAAGCTGGGTCGTAGCTTCTTTCAGAGTATGCCAACCCACTTCTTGGTATAGTATAGTATCCCATCATGGGCATACTCTGATCCACACCGCATTACTACTCAACTCCTGGACCAACATGAATGCTTCCTAGCTTTCACAGTCTTTGCACCTGGCACTCTATCCGTTAATACCTATGTTCAATTTGGCTAGATCACTCTGTTAAAATGATCTGTTAATAATCCTTTTATGAAAATATTAACCTCTTGGATACTTGCCCCTCAAGCCAATATGGTGGGGAGCTGCTCTATCCGAGGGAGGGCGAGCTAGTGGTGACAGAAGAACTGACAGCAAAGCCTCTTGGGTTCTGGTCTTGGCTCCTTCCCTGTCATTTCCCTCTGCTTTGTCTTACTGCTGCATCAAAGAGGTTTATAACGCCTACCTCATAGCCGAGTTGTGAGGCTTGCTTAATTAATATTTTGAAATTAATTAATATTTTTGCTTCGATACCTTTGGACAATTTTTCACATCGTTGACGGCATAACTCAAAGGAGTGGGGCTGACCTTAATAGTCTCTATAATTGGCAATGATATTGCTAAGATGGTCTTGCAGACAGAGGGATTTTAAAATGTAAATACTCTTGGCTGTTTAACTAGCCTTTATCTCTATCTCCAAAACTAAATTTTGCCTGTGTTTTAAAAAGAGCGGAATAATCCCACGACAGAGAATAAAGATACTGAAGATAAGGGCAATTAACCCTCGTGCATCAGGCTTCATCCTGATCATTGCAGGGGTCAGGAAGGAAAATCTTCTTACAGATACACTATAACAAAACATATGCCTCCCCCCCCCGCTCCTCTGAAGGATCATTGGATGCTGCCAGAGGCAGGGTGGTGGGTTTGATGGACTCATGGTCTGATCCAGAATGACACATTTTTCATTCCTACGTCTTCACTGATCAGAAGAGAAAAGTGTTACCAGCAAAACTGTTACAAATCTAGGGTGGGTTGGGAGTCGGGTTGATGCTTGAAAGCTGCTTTGAAACACAGCTAATGAATCATAGGCCAAGTTTCTGTTTCTTACCTAAGGGCAGCTGTGGAACGACTAGAGAAAAATTAAGGGTGGTATAATAACTATGAAAGGTGATGTCTCACTTCCCAACACCTCACTATATGTCAACTAGGATTTTACTTGTTAAAATGAAGGCATTAGCCAACATGGCAAGCTACCTGCTATAAAACAGCTTGATCCCTTTCCCAAATTAAAACTCCATTTTTCATTGCAATGTGTATTGCTTCTCTAGGCTGCTAAATATGATCGTTGCTCCCTCCTGGATTAGGCAGCGGCTGTGTTTCACAGAGATAGCCACGGAGTAGTTTATGGGCTTCAATAGGCCACAGATGAACTGACCTGGATATTACATGAAAGCCATACGGTGAGGGAAAGGGGGTATTGAGAATTCAGAACTGTGCATTTCCCTCCAACTCTAATTAAACTGAGGTTAAAATGTAAAGCCAATAATCAGCATACACGGACATGATGCTTATACCAGCATAACTCCCTTGGTTTTGGTGGGGAGATTTCTGACTTATACTGGTGTAACTAGGAGCAGAATCAGGTCTTGCTTGACTAGAGGGAAAACCATAAAAAAAAAAAAGGTCAAAGAGGGAACCCACGTGAAGTGAGCAGAAGCAGAGAGGCTGGAAACAGGGTAACAATATAAATTTACCTCTGCATATATGAACGCAGCAGCGTGATTCCCAGGAGGAAGTACATCATAATGGAGCATGCCATCATAGCCAGTCCTAGGAGTATGGCCCGGTCTTCTCCAGCTTTCAGAGCTGTGACTGTTTTCCTTTTGTCCAGTAGATCATGATCCCTGATTTTTTGGTAAATATTTCTGAGGTTGAAAATAATACATTCTTATGTGAAGTTCACATTTAATCAATTAACCCTCTAACGGGTGGGTAGTTCCACCTCCATACCCATCTCGTGGGAGAGAAAGGCTTAAGGTTCCTCAGTGGTCCTTTTCATTGGCTTCACTCTGACCTGGCAGGGAACTTATTCACCTCCAAAATAAATTACAGCCATTTCTGAAAAGGTAAAAACCTCTTACTGCAAAGATAAACATTTAGAGACTTCACTGTGCCAGCTTGGTAAATCTATCCCTCATGGAACTTGGTTGACTTTTTGGAGTTGTACCGCTGTTGAGTTGACCCATCAACTCCTGCCCCATTCCCATGAATAACACTAGGTACTTTTGGTGGATATTGTCCTTGGGTCCACATTAGTTCTGCTACCCAGGCCAGTGTCTCACAACACCATAAGATCTTGCCATAAAGGCAAGACTTTTGGCGCCCTATGTGCCATAAGTCTGAGCCTGAGGAGGACATCCACCAACAGATTTTTAAGGGAGCCGTTTTGTTCTGCTATTAAAAAAACGCAACAGGTTATTCCTCCCTCTAGCTGAGAGAGTCATTTTCTTATGTGTAAATGCTTCCTCTCCAGGCGTTTGATGATCAGAGGTCATAGGAACATAGCGATGAAATAGGGAAGTATTTGAGTACATTTCAAACACACACAAACTTTGTGGGTTTAAAATGTACTTACAGACCTGAGGCTGGTCAAAAGCTCCTGTGTTTTCTGTTACAACTCTTTTGACTCATCCAGGCAGCACGCGATGTATGTGAACTGCATACCTCTGAGCCCTGGCACCACCATAAAATGGCCATAGTAGCACACGCAGGAGTAGTTCCTCTTCTACTGTCTGTAAAATGGCAGGTGAGCAGCATCAACATGAGCATTATTTTGGGTTCTGACAAACCCACAACTCATCTATGCTGAAACTGTAAAGTTTCACTTGCCCTTATAAAAAGGATAATATCATCTACAATAATAGATCAACACAATGACTTTTAAGTAGTGTTACTGCATAGCAATGTAGTCACATTTATAAGCATTGTTTTTGATGCAAAATCATAGACGGGACTGGGCCCGCTTCCAATGGGGCAAAAGGTTTTATCAAGACGTTCTTCAGCCTTCATAATACTATTGATGAAAATGTATTGATGTTTCTTTATTATGTTTATGACTCATCTACTTTTCTTTGAACTTGTCTTGTCATTACTTTCTCCAGATCATTTTCCTTCTGAAGTTTCTAAATTCCCTTCAAATTTACTTTCTTTGATTCCCTTAGTTTCTCTTCAAAAGCCAGTTCCTTAAAAACTTGATAATATTTTCCTACTTGGAAACAAAAGGGTAATTCATCCCAGTGAGGTTTTCTTCAGTGTTGTCAGAAATATTTTGTGACTTCTTGGACTCTTGCCTTCAAAGAAGTGATGTAAAATAATAATCAAATGCTACTTTCCTATTATTTATCAAAATGTATTTAACTCTGATAGCTGCTATTAAGATTTGCTGTTTCCAAATGAAAGCAGGCAGAAAGGTAGCAATAGTCATACAGTTCCAGAACATTAGCCAATCACCCAGCATAACTTATGTCAGTCTGTAGACATAAAATAGACATGGTGCAATCAGTCATTAATGTCACCAGAACAACTCGAACATCAAAGTGATTCAAATGGACGATTTAAAAACAAATAGCTAATTGAATATGGTTACAAATGTTTCCCACATGGCCTGAAGCCAAGAAATGTGCAGTGAAAGGTAAAAAGATGGACTACAAGGTATGTTGTAGAAACAGTCTATGAGCATTGGATAGTAAAAATCTGCTGATTCAGCCATGGCAAATAAGTATCTGTTGATGGGGTCGTGGTCCTTAATATATTTGATCTAATGGCTTTTTCCTTGAAACACTGCAATAAGTAAGTTGCTATGAATATTGCAAGTACAGGGCTAAATGGTTTTGGTGCCACAGCCCTGAGAAAGGGATGCTTTCAGTCCAGATGTATCAATTCAGAAGCTGCCCCAGAAGATACTACTAATGGGGCATAGGCAGAAGTTATATCTGTCATGCAATTGGCCCCTTGAAAGTGCTCTACAGCTGCGCTGTGACACGTGTGCACAGCTGAAGACTGCTTTAAAAGTGGCCATTCGTGCAACAAATTAAGCCTTATTTAATGAGGGATCAAATGAAGGTGCTCCAAAGTGAAGCACCTTAGGAAACTTGTGTTCCCTGGGGTCAATCTGTTAATGCAATTGGGGCTGAGCTGATACAGCCCAGTCCTGCCCCTGGTGCTGTCTGCAAGAAGGGTCGCGGGAGGGAGGAGGGGGAGGGGAGCCGAGGGATGGGGTTTTTCTGGCCTGAACTGGGGGTGGGGGGTGCTGCATGAGTCCAGCTCTGATCACAGGACAAACAGGCAGGCTCGATCCTCCTCCGCTCCTCCCCCCCACAACAGGTGAATTTCTGGTGGGTCAGGGGAGGGGGTCACTTTATGCAAAGCACCATGAGTTAGAGCGGGGACTTGCATGTCTGTCAGCACCCATGGTGTCTGTACCTCATTGAACTGTGCCAGCTAGTGCCACATGGAAACACGCCCAGCACATTTGTGCAGCATTCAGTTCTCAGGAAAGATCAGTAACTGTCACGTAAGTGCAGTTCCTCCAATAAGTGCTGAGAACTGGCTGGGGTGGCCCACACAAGAAGCTGCATGACACTATTTCAGTGTTGGATACAAGTTGAATGAGGGGTAGGGCACGTTTTCAAGGCATGAGAGTGCACATGTGCTTTAAGTCACAATTCCTCCCCTTCTTTGTTCTTGACCAAGCTGGGTCTTATGGATATGTAACTTGCTGCTTACTGATACCCACTAAGACCTGACTATTCTGATGCTGTCCCTGTGCCAGCCAGAGAGCCAAAGGGCTGGAAGCCAGGGCTTTGCATCATTCTTGCCTTTCCTGCCTCTCAGTGGGGAGGAGGAGGATGACACGTGGCACTTGCTTACTTTGATGAACGCTCACCCAGTGCTTGAATAGCCTGTGCTGCAGAGACAGGGGGGTTCCTACTCTGCCTCACTCTCACAGCTGGTTCAAGTCACAAGCTAACCTATGTGCAGTGCATTCAGCAAAGCACCATAACCTCAGCTCAGTTGTGGCAGGAAAGTCTTTCTGTGGGTTATCCTTCATGCCCCTGCTAAAGTCCAAGCCACTCCACGTGGCTCTGTGGCACGGTGGCTTGTGCATGCCTGTGCTTCTCTGCTGGATAAAATTGGTCATAAGGGTGAGTTATTGGCACAGTCAAGGAGCTGCTCTTGCTTGCTGAGTACAACAAGTGCTGTGCTAAGGCAGCTGATCTCTGGTCTCACTGCTGCATAGCCACAATGAGCTGACTCCAGCGGTGTGTATTAATGGAGCCACAGATCACTCCAGCCTGGACATTACAGCTTGGTGACTATGTCTAAAAAATGTGATAACAGTTAAAAACTCCCCCAAATGTCTAGTGCTTTTTTCTTTTAATAACAGAATCCAAGGCGTGAGAATATGGGCTCTCCCAGGTCATCTTTCTGCCATTTGTATAAAGGAATTAATGGCTAAATCCTATTTCACTGTGCACCAAAATGGCACAGATGGAGTCATGTTAACTGCTGTTTTTGGCACTTATGTACAGTTTGAGATTCAGCTCTGGGTGTGCAAGTGTGCAGGTGCCCATTGAGCATGCTTAGTAGGGCTGTGCTCTGGCTGGGTAGGTACATGGTGCAACAGGATCACCCAGGGACGTGTGTAAGCCTGGGTAATGTTTTAGTCACAGAGAAACCATGACTAGCAGGACTGGAGGAAGAGAAAGAAAATGGCCCTCATGCCTTTTAGGTTGGAGGAAGAGTGTCCAGAGAGAAGCTGGAAAAGAGTCTGGTTAATGCCTCCCCTCTGGCCTAATGGTTGGAGCACTTTCAATGGGAAGCAGATGTTGGTTCAAACACCCTCTGAGTGAGGGGAGCCTCCAACCTGGGTGTCCCTCTCTCTGGGCCAGTGCCCTAACCACTTGGCTACTGGGCGAGAAGGCAGGAAGGCCCTCTTCCCTCCATTGCTGCCACTACTGGGTGAAGCAGAATCCCAGCTTGCCAAAGCCTGCAGCTAAGCAAATGCTTGTGCCACCGAGGCACCTAAAAGTAAATGGGATGTGGCCCTCAATATGTCAATGAGCCCAAGAAGACACAATTCCTTGCTCTCCAAATTGCTTCTGTTGCCATTTGCCCTGCTACCCATCCAGCTTCCCCTTATCAGGTTGGTCCTGTGGTACAGCATGGCTCCCCACAAGCTCTGAAGCAACTTGGCTGTTGTGTGGGATGAGGTAGTGGTGAATGGCACGTAGACTCTTCCTCTCTGTGCTCTCTACAGCAGCAGGGCAGGGCCCTCCAGCAGTGTTGAGAACAGTACCTTGCACACCTAAGTCCAGGTGAGGGTTCAGGAAGACCTTATGTGAGGACAGTAGGCAGCACAGACTATATTTAGTCATCCTGAGACCTGCAGAGGCAGAGAGAACTACAGGGTCTGTCAGAGTCCAGCAGCTTTCATAAAGAAATCCATTTATACTCTTCACAGCCAAGAACTATTTCTGGTCTAGGATGAGGAACATTGCCTTCACTTTGTAATAGCTTGGCTGATGGGAAGGGGCCTGGTAAATGCATGGTCTCGAGGACCTGGTCTGTTGATGTAGGGTCAGACCAGAACTCCTTCAAGATGCTAAAGTAGTTAAGATACATTAGGGGGAACTGCATACTGCATGTGTTTAAAGGAACAGTACAGTGAACTACAGAGCTCTCAAAACGTCTACACCACCAACTGGGTCATCTTCACCCATCATACTTGGCCACAATGGCTAGTCTACACTGGTGCTTCCAGGGAAGCTGTTTTTGAGTATGCCCTGCTGACCCACTTCTGTTTGCACTTGCCAAACCCAGAAGCAAGGCAGGGAAGCTGCTCCAGGATTAGGTGGGTGCAGCT